CATCGAGACGTCTGGTGAACTTTTAAAAGACATAAGTGTTTGTTTTTTTGTCATTCATGGCGGGAAGAGCAAAGAAATGCCATTTCATATTGTGGGCTAATTGCTGTTGTTGTTGTTGTGCTGACACTTTGATTATACTCACAGTCACTGTTTATGTCACAGCCTGCTGTGTGAAGTGGTCAGTGTAAGATAAGCAGCAGACAATCCTCTGGTGTACAAATGCTAAATCCAGAGGATGTGCTGTAACACGGGGGCTGATCCCTTCACTGGTTTAAAGTAATATAAAAATATAATATAAAGTATTATATAAAAACAATCTGCATGTTTTTTGTCATGTTTAAAATTGTAAGAAAAAACAAACATGTCTCTAATCTGCACTCTAATCTGAATTAATTCAATTTTTTATTTAATTTCATATTAAATCTAAATAATCCATGGTCACTTGCATAACTAGGGTTGGATTTTGAAAGGAAAGCAAAATCCATTGGGTCACATTTAAAAAAAAAAACTTGAATTAATGACACTGTTACAGCGCTCCTAGTGGTCTGAAGTGGGCACGACACTAAACACAGCTATTTAAAGTCTGTAAAAAAAACCAATGTATTATCATTATCATCTTTGCTGCAAGAGTGGGAAAAATATTGCAGTTGAAAAAGCTGTTATATTGTATTACCTGGGGTTAATTAGTGTGATCACTCTCACCTGTGTCTCAGTTCATTAGTCTCACTCCTGTCACCTGGTGCACCTCTCTCTCACTCTGTCTTGATGGGATCATTGTTCAAGTGTGTGTACTGTTCAGTTTGTTCTGTGTGTGTTCTGAGTCCATTCTGGGAGTTCTGTGTTCTTGCCCTGATGGTGATGCCCTGTGATGTCCATACCTTGTCTTCCTGTGACCTAGTGAGTTTTTGTGATTTTAATTTTTGAATATACTACCTACACCTGAAAAGTGTCCCTCCAGGGACTGCATTTGGGTCCTGCCTGCTTCCTGTCGATGTCGGTATGTAACAGGAAGGCTGGGAACGGTTTAATAATGTGATCCCTGCAGTGATTCAGAAAAAAAGGCTAAATTCTAGACCAGTGCAAATCATTTATTCCATTGTTAATTTATTTATCTTTATCTATTTGACAGTTAATAAATTTAAGTACTTAAGTAAAAGACTGCCATACAAGATATGACACAGGAAGCAACAGCACCACAAAGCCTCTTGTTTTACCCATAATCCTTTGTAAGAACCAGCTGGATTTGTACTCTAAGAAGCAGATTAATTTGTAAGGAGCTGAATTAATTATTTCAAAACAGTATCTTAGAAAGTGTATATGTACTACTTTGGTTTTATGTATAATAATAATAATAATAATAATAATAATAATATCTGTCAGAACCAGCATTAACCTTGTCAGAAGTTTTCAAAACCCCAGCCTTGCTCATTCCAAAAACAAGGTGCTAGTCATTAACACGTTACCACGGTGATGAATTTGACTAATTAGATGTTGATGTTGACCTGTTCTGATTTCTTTAATTTAATTTAATCACATAATACCGTGAATGTGAGATTTTGTAGGTTTTTGTTCTTTATTCCTCCTAATTAGAGGCTACCTCTAGGGGGGGCTATAACCTTTTGTGTGTAGCGTGTAGTATTGTGTAATACTATTTACTACATCTGGCTCTAGCAGGTCTTTATGTCATGGCCACTCCAGAATCCAATGCTGTATTAAATTAACTAAATTAAAACAGGAGCGATGTTTCACCTTGGTTACGACTTCGGAAAACTAATAAATTAAAGCAGTATCCAGTTAAACTCTTACTGGTTTCCGGTTTCAAAAGTGGATAAACGACCAGGCAGCGATGGACAAAAACGTTCCGGGTCATAATGTTGTTAGTAATGGTTAACAGACCGGTCACTGGTACTATTTACGGTGTAAAACACAGTTTTACCACTAGATAGCAGTGTTGCTCCGTTTTAGGTTTTAACATACCGACTGTTGGTCAGAAGTTGTGCTTTAGCAGCATTTTTTTTTAAACTCACAATCAAAATTAATTTCATGTGAAGAGTTTTGAATGTCTAAATATTTGAATTTGACAAACAGCAGCAACCTTTCAGTCAATGCAGGACAGAATATTAGAGATGGACTCTTTAAGCAGCCGGGGGGTTTTGCCACAAGAAATATTGTGTTAATCTCCTGCTGAGCGCTGTTTACTCTCCTCTGTTATCCAGTAAACACTACTGGAGAAAATAGCCACAGTGGTTTGCGCTGCATCTCGGCTTTCCCACCCTTTTGCAGTGTTTGGTGTTCGTGTGCCAAGAGTCTGTGCAGCTTCTGCCAACAGTTGCCACCAACAAAAATACCCACAAGACTTTTCCATCCCTGATACAAAATTGCAATCAAGTCAGGTCCGCAGGGGAAATTTGGGGTTTAGACTCTTGTTTGTGATGTTCTGTCGATGGCAACTAATCGTTACCGTGGCTGCCAACACGTCACGCTGGGAGCAAT